ATTAAGCCAAAATTTCGTAATCGCTTTTCGGTATGGCACTTTAATGAGTGGAAGTGTGTGCAAAGCGCGCCAGACGCTAATGGGCCTATGCAGTGCGCCTTGGGCTTGAACTAAGTATCTGTAACTTACTGCCCGCTGCAACAATGCGTTGCCTTTCAAAATAAAAGAAATCAAGTAAAAGTGCTCTACCCGGGCGTGCCCGACTAAGGAGATACCCTGTGCTCTACTACCTAATTCATTTAGATGAATTAGACGAATAGATAGATGAATATTGAATTATTTTTTACACCAAATGCTTTGTGAAGTAAAAAGCAATATTTATCTATTTCGATAAAACGGGCGAAGTTATCGATGCATTTAAATGAACTTCAAATAGAAATGGTATACATATGAAACCAATAATATGCTCAAAATAAGAGGGCTGCAAATCGATATTTAAATATCGGGATAATTTATCGATAACAAATAACATAGGCTTTATATGCGTACTGTATTCTATTATACTAAATCTAGAACCTCTCCTCCTGTAGTATCTGAGTTTATACCGAAAGGCGGACATACATACTCAGATCAACTCAGCTCGTCATCCCAAACAATAATAAAAGGGCTGTACATCAATATTTATCGGGGATATCGGGATAAGTTATCGATAGCATATAACATGAGCTTTATCTGCATATGGTATGCTTTATATTAAATCTGGTACCTCTCCTCCTATAGTATCTTAACTCTTACCGAAAGACAGACGGACATTCTCAAATCGATATTTAAATATCAGGTTAAGTTATCGATTGCAAATAAGAAGCTTTATCTGCTTATGGTATACTATTATACTGAATCTGGAACATCTCCTTCTATAATATCTAAGCTCTTACCATATATATAATATCTAAGCTCTTACCGAAATGCAGACAGACATACTCAGATCAACTCAGCTCGTAATCTCAAACAATAATTTATATATTTTATAGGCAACAGAAGGCATCTTCTGCCTGTTGCATACATTTATATAACTTCTTTTTACTATATTTAAGCTTTTAAGTGGGTATAAAACAGCAGGAAACCCCCTCAACTATAGCTCGGGATTTGGCTTACAGCATAACCAAAGGAGACGCCAACTCAGCCAACTCTGACAAGTTCAATCAACCGTTGAGGTTGAGGCGTGAACCGACTGGCAACAAAAACAAAACAAAAATGAAAGCAAATGGTAAATGCAAAATATTTGCCATTGGAAATGTGCGAGTTTTAGCATACAGAAAATCAAAACAAAAAAAAAATATGATGAAAAATGTAATTTACAATTTATGGTAATTACCACACGTCAAGCCAAACAATTGACTTTTCCTTTTCAAAAAAAAATATCCAAGTAAATACCCGCAACAATTTTATTGTTTGCTTTGGTTTATTTATTTTTATTTTTTTTGAAAATTCAGTCCCACCTGAAGACAAACAAACCATTAACGACATTTACGTAAAGTTTAAACAATGCGAGCGCATTAAATGCATTTGACTCTGTTGCAATGGAAGCAGCCAAGGCAACAACAACAACAACCAGACTTTTAGAGGGAATTGGGAGGGGGGTTTACAATATACCGCTTTGATTTGTAGTATTCCAACTGCTTTGGCCCCGCTAGCGGTGTTTGTGCCGATTTGCTGTTGTCTTTTTTTTTTTGCTTAGAGCAGAGCGCTCTTCTTTGGCCGTCTTTTCATTAGCCATCATCAGCAAAGCTGTGCCAGGCTGTAGATGGCTAAAATATGGCAAACATGCGCTGCAGTCGCCGGCCTGAGCCCGATTCCAATATCAAGTCATTTCTCAGCGCGTTCTCTTTGGCGACCGAACGTTAATTGCCAGCGCTTTTTCAAAGACCAGACCAGACCAGACCAGACTAGATAACCAGCTGTCCAGCTGTTTCTAACACAAATGGAAATACGTTCTTTACTGTAACTTAATAGAAAAAAAAAAAAAACAAATAAAGAGGCTAACTGAAAATGTCATCACGTTTGTTATGATCGAAAGATGATTCAATCTATAAATTGAACACATTTAATGAAGCAAATATTATTAAATTTTAATCGTGCTCTATTCAATGTTCTTCTCTTCATGTATACTTGAAATATCAACAAATAAATAACGTTGGTTACATTTTGTTTTCTAAGCAAAAATAGATTCCCCCAAAAATGTTAAAGTTTGGCTTTAGTATAGTAAATTTCTTATCAAATCCACTTTTGATATAAGATTTGTAATATAACTTTTAAAACTTTCAATATGAGGCCTTTAAACTCGGCTCTAACTAAATCAAAGTGTACATAAAATTCGTTATATTCAAAATATTTTCCAGCTTAAAATAATTATTAAGGCAACAGCTATAAAAGGTTTTAACTCAATTATGAACAAAATGCATTTTTGTTAAGCATTGATAATTGTTAATGAGCATTGATAGAATGAAACAAAAGGCGTCATTAATCAACGTTATTTTGAAAGCTGAGAGTCGAAACCAGTTTAATAGACTTGATTTGATTTGATTTGATTTGATTTGTATTGATTTGCGGCATTGCTCGCGATAGCTACCGTTAGTAGAGTCCCACTGTGGTTCGTAATTTTGGAAGCGTGAAAAATAAAGAAAAATAAATAATAAAAAAAAACCCTAAGACAGGCCGCGGAGAGGCTGTTGGCTGCTGTCTTCCCACGCCGAAAAAAAAGTACAAACTAAAAAGCATTGGATGTGGGTGCGAAGACAAAGTTCAAAATAATTTCAGCATTATTACAGTGGGTGCCCAGCGAACGAGCCGACTGTCTGTCTGTCTGTCTGACAGTCTGTTCGTCTGTCTGACTGTCTGTCTGTCTTTCTGGCTGGCTAGAAAAGAAAGCCAAGCGCAATTGCACAAGAAGTTGAACAACAATTGCTTGAGTTGAACCATAACAACCGACAGCTGCAGATATACGCTAACCGTTATTTAACAGTTATTTAACATGCAATTAACCTGGCCATACTAAAAATGCAAATATATGGGCACACCGTCTAGATAAAAGACCCAGCAGCCAGCAGCCAGCACCCAGTTGGCCCAGCATCGGGAGCGAACGCCTATTTATTTCTAAATGTTATGGTGCAATAACTTTCTAAACAAAAAAAAAATAACAAAAAACACTCCAGTCTTGGACTCTCTCGGGTTGGGTCATTCATCTTAATTATCACACGGCCCGCAAAAAGAAAAGCCTCGAAATTAAACCAAAATGTTGCTTTAATGGTCTTGGAAATTCATTAGGCCAGGCCCAGTCCGGCTACGAAATCTAATCAGATCCCCTGAGACTAGCCTCTAAAACACTGTCCATTTGCATTTGTAAGCAGACAAGAATCTTCGTTGTTGTAGAAAGCTCGACGCTGTGCTAGGTACCCGTAGAAATTATTCCCACCTTTATGATATCTTGTTCTATTCTATTTTATCTACATCTTCTTCTGTTTTCTATTGTATACCCTGCAGCCAATGGCAATGGGTAAGAGGGGTGTTATAGGCAGCAACAGGCATGATATGCTGATATTAAAAACTATGAAGGCTTGAGATAAAACTCTTCCATTGTTCCCAAAATGGATAAATATCAATTTCTAGCTTAAGTGCTGAAGCATTTAGTTTCTCGAAGAACATACAATGATATTTCTTTTTTGATACAATGTAGGAAAGATAATTTAGATGTATATCCTTCATTTTTGGTATATATGCCATCTTGATGACCTTCCGTTTTAATAACGATCGGACAATGAACACAGAAATTATTAAAGAAATAATTTAACCTTTGTGTGTCAGTAATGTGTGTTATAGATTCTCATAGCTGGACACAGGGTATCTGCTAGTCGAGCACTTTTAAATGGATCGCTTCTCTTTTATTCTTCTGTTTGTTTGAATATTTAATCACCGGAAGCTATCTCCCGGAGCATCTCCCAGCAGCAGACACGCTTAATTACAAAAGCCGCATCTCCGTTTCCAGCTGTGTCTTGCTGATTTCAGATAAATCTATTTTCGTAGCGCCCAATATGAGACGAGTATTCAAATTGCGTAGCGTTTGAAGTGTTCGATTTCATTTCCATTTCCCGTACGCCTGTCTTTCGGTGTTGCCAATTAGACACGTCTGTCGCTTGGTTGTTAAATATGAAATGTAGATATGTCGAGTAGTTGTTCTAGTTGTCATGATACCTATCCACATCTGAGACATTGGAGCAAGGCTACAACATCGAGTGCCAACTATGATATTCTAATTAACTCGAACTCGGAAACTTGAGGACAAATGAGTAGTTATGGATATGTTATCTAAAAGTAAGGTTCGAGGAATACGCAGATTGCGTGGGGATACTTTTTTAAGCTTAATAGTTAGTCGAAGCTACAATAAGCTAAATAAGTCTTGTAAGCTGGCGCTTGACTTAACTTAACCTTAACCTTGATTAACATATCTTTCTAGATTTAGATAATCTTTTTCCCCAAATCAAGAGCAGAGAACTTCAGTCTATATCACAGTTTGAATGCCCTTTAAAATAAGTTCAACTGGGTTCGTTCTTCATGCTCTTCGTGACTGTAAGTAACACCTTCCGGCAGAGATTTGGGTTTAGAAATTGTTTAATGAAATATATGAAATGTAAAAGAAGTCGTGATCTAGAAAACACAATTTCTACACACGCGTATTTTTAAGTGCTTAGTCGTGACCCTTTTTTTTCTGTCCCTAACTGAAAAACAATAATGCCGTTATCTTCGAAGAGTCGCAGATAAAATACCCTTACGACATACATATATGTATATGATATATGATCTTAAGATCTTTATGAAATAATGGTCCGATTGAAGATTATGTTCTAAAGTGAGGAGGGAAACATTATTATATAGTGGCCCGATCTGAAGTGTGTGCACATACATAAATCATATGCATTTACATGTTTGCATTCAAATAGTTCAATTTAATAGTTTTGTTAACACATGCAATAAATAAACGCTTTAATTTTTATTTTCACACTCACCTGCTTAATGAAATTAAACGGCGGCATTTTGTGCACTAATTTGTTGTTGTTTTTGTTGCTGCTGTCATGCAAAAATCCAAAGCACAAAGCGAAATGAAGAAAAACTGCAAGCGACAAATGCAGCTGGCTGCTTTTATTGCAGCTGTTGTTATATTTATTATTGTTGTTGTTGTTGTTAGTTGCGCCAATGGCAAAAAAGCCGCTGTCCAATTACAGCAACAGCAACAAATTAAACAATTTTAATTTTTTCGCACTCCTTTTGCTGTCACCACCTAACGCAAATGCCGGCTTTATTGCCGCTCTGTTTTCCTAATTCGTTTTTTCGCAAATTTACCGTTGCACACACACACACACACACACACACACACAATAAGCAAGCTTAAAGAAAGAGAGAGAGAAGTAGCGTCGCGCGCTTAAAGATCAGCGTGTGCTAGTATAATTATCGTTTGTGCTGCTGTGCTGTTTATTTATAATTTGGTTTTTTTTTGCGTAATTTATAATTTATTGCGAAAAGTGTGCAGCGGAAATAAAAGCACTGTTGCGCACTTTCCAAACAAATTAACCCGAATTGTAAACGGAAACAAAAGGCAGTTGCGCTGCCACAAATCACAAAATTTGAACAATTGCCAATGCGTGAGCGGCAGAGAGTGGCTTAACCCGTGAAAAGTCGGCTTACGACTGAGCGTACCTGATGGCTTCAATTGAAGCGCGGCTCGGTCGCATGTCAAGGCAACCGTGGCTGCGACGTCGGCGCCGCCGTTGGCGTCACTCAGTTTCGTGACCCTTTTGGGCAGACATTTTTGTTGTTGGAGTGTTAACCAACAGTGTGACCACCACATTGCACATTCATGTGTAAGAGAGAGGTAAGTGTTAATAAACTTGTGCGTGTGTGTGTTCTTGGAACTTGACGCATTTTGGTTTAGTTTGTTGTTCTTTTTATTGCGCTCCATTGAAAACAAAGTCGTGCAATTAACAAGTCAAATGCTGACGTCACTCCTCACACGACTGCTGCTGCTGCTGATGGTCGCGCATCAGCATCAGAATGCACTCCCGCACCAGGACACGTGCATGGGCAATATCACGTAAGAGTCGTTCCTTTGGCGCACGCAAACCAATCGCCGTAGGACCCAAATTGCTCTGCATTTCCGCAATGACGGCCAGCAGATTGTCATAGGTGTCCACAATGTTGGTCGTGCCATTAGCTTCGGCACTGGGCAGTTGCATATTGGAGCCAGGCAGACCGTAGAGCAGCTCGCCAAATGCGCATGCGCCCAGCGCATTGTTGCTAGACATCAGCTGCAGTTGGGCCTGCACGTATTTGGTGTACTCCAGCTTGGCCAGCACCTGCTGGTACTCATTGGAGTAGGCGACGGCATCCTGTGTGAACTTTTGCTGTGCGTGTTGTGATTGTTGTTGCTGCTGCTGCTGCTGCATTGGCTTGCTGCGCTGCTCGATTGGAGCAGCGCCGTTTGGTAGGTTTATGGGAATGATTTCCACGCGTGCTGCCGGCGCTTTCTCCGAGGACCCAGCTGCATCCCATGTTTCGGGTGGCTCATCTTGTCCGTCTATCTTCTGTCGCTTGGCGGGCACGGCAGTTACCGTTATATCACTATATCTGGAGCGAAACGAGTCCAGGTCCAAATAGTCCATTTTGTACGTTTTTCTACAATTAGGATTGTCAAATAAGTCAAGCGTCTCGCTGACAGATCAGTTAACAGGGCCAGCAACTATTCCAGGCATAGACTACTCTGGTAAGAGGATTTTTACAAACCAATTCTCATTTTTAAAGCCAACTGTATATAAATATTTTATATAAAATTATATATTCCAACTCAAATTAACTTAAAGGATTTGTTTTCTATAAAATATATTTAATTTAATACTATTTTTAGTGTAAATGGAAGTTTTCACACATCCAATTAAGAAATCTTTCTAGGGTAGGATTTGGTTAGTTAAACGGGCTTACGGCCTAAAGATCATTATACCCATGCACAAGCTTTCGACTCGAGCCCGATCTCTGCTCACTGGAATAACTTGATGACCGAGGGCAACTTTTAACTTAAATCTCTGTATTGTATGTGCAGGATGTAGGGTTAATTAAAAAGAGCCCCGAACCAAATGGAAGGGTAACTCTCTCATGGCATATACTGAGCGAGAGGTTCTGTTACACTAACCACCTGTGTTTCCGCATATCTTATTTGTGGGGAGGGGGCGAGTGTGACGTGCGGGTAATTACCGGCAGCAGAACAAAACTCGATTCATAAACAAGCCATTCTTTGAGTTAGTTGCCACCGGCAGCGGAGGCGCTCAAGCGTGCTTCCCGCATTCATGCTACCTCTCCGTTTCGGGGGCATGACGCATGCAATTGAAAGGCACCTAGGGTTTATTTAAATGTTTTTTTTTTTGTTCTTCCGAAATTCGTTAGTTTTCGCCAGTATATGGGAATTAACAGATAAGATGTACAACAATTTTGTATACTACGTCCAGTTCAGGTTTGGTTATGGCGTCAATTGCTGTTCTGCTGCTGGGCACGGATAATCTCTTTGAGGTCGCGCTGCGTCTGTTCCCCGCATTCGAAGCGATGATAGTCAATAATGCTAATGCCATTTTCCTTGAGCACTTCACCAACCGTCTTATCGGCATCCAGCAGATACTCCTGGTGGATGAGACATGTTTCATCGTCTTTGTTCTCAGCCGGCATATCCTTGTCGTATTCGCCTATTTTGATTGGCTTCATGCCCACAATTTGCTGGCATATGCCCTTCTGAACTTCCGGATCATCCATTTCCTGTTCAGAACGAAACGCGACAATAGCTCCATATTTGCCCACTTGTGTTATATTTTGTGTGGTGCTAACGTTGGTGGGCGCCGGATGCGCATAGCCCGCTAGCCGCAAATCGTTGTTGACCTTGAAGCAAAGAGCGCGCCTAATGCTGGCATTTTCGCCCATCGCGCCAATGAGCAACGCCAAATGGTCGGCTAGTGAGCCGCCTTGCGGCGTCTCCAGATTCCTAAGCGCATCCGCGTCGAAACCAAGCTGCAAAAATTACATATAGATAGATGCATTAATTAATGAGTGAAGATATTTACTCTTGCAAAAGCAAAGTTAAAGAAATGACTTCCACCTCCATAAAGTATATAAATTCTTCATCAATAGCAATAGACAGTACACTATATCATATAGCTCTACAGAAAGTATCGTCGATATCTAAATCTTATCTAAATCTCTAAATTACAAGCTTCAATATTCTTCTCGTATATCTCTCTTTTCAACATCGGACTGCTACAGTCCCTATTGAATGAATTGCATTTACAAGAGTATTTAATCTTCGGTGTTCCGAAGGCACATGCTTTTTGTGCTGCGCAGGTTACCTTCCATAGATCACCATCGAACTCGGTGAGATCCGTATAGTGTAGAACAATGCGTGACACGTGATCAACAAACCGCTTGAAGGTATCGTTGCGTGCCACAAAGTCCGTTTCACAGTTGAGCTCCACCATGGCGCCACGATTGCCGCTTACCAGGACGCCCACCAGACCCTGTGTTGTGATGCGATCCGACAATTTTGTGGCTTTGGACCAGCCAAGTGATTGCGCCTGTTCATGCAGCCATTTTTCTGCCTGTAAAATACAGTTAGTAAGGCTTTTAATCCGCTCTCCTCGCCCGAGCTGCCCTATCTCTCACCTGCTTGACATCGTTGTTATGCAATTCGAGCGCCTTTTTACAGTTAGCAAATGTGTAGCCGGTCTTCTTGCGCAGCGTGGACAACGCGCTCTTCTCGAGGCCAGCGCCAGCGCTGCACAGCTGGCGCGTGGTGTGCAGAGCCCGGGCACAAAATTTCTGTAGCAACATTGGGGCTTTTTTTTTTTATTTTTTTTTTTTGGACAAATTTAGATGTTTACAGTCTGTGTGCCTAATGGGTTCTAGGTTTAAAATGTATAATGGTTACTTGTTGCGCTTAGCCTGCTGCCAAGGGCGACGTTGATTTGTTTGCTGCTGAGTTTGTTAAATCAATTTCAATTTATATGTAGGTGCCTGTAATTTGCATTTGTTTTCAACTCGTTGGTATGCTCGGACACCGGCTGTGGCCCCGAAATAGTAAAAAAAGTAAAAGTTATCGCGTTGCGGCGCGTAATTAAACAATAACTAATAAACGTAAGTTGATTTCTTTGGATGCTGTTTTGCTTGTGCAATACTTGTTTCCCGTATTTAATTTTAATAATTTGTTATTTGGTATTTTTTAGTACATTTTCGGACACAACGTATGGGCCGGCTTTTACAAACCTATCGATTTGACACTTCAAACATCTGTGCTGCTTTCGATGAATCGAAAGCAACACTGAAAATATTTATTCTCGATATATATTTTTGGCAAGTGCTGCCACCTAACCATTTTTGCGCGCCAACTTTGAAAACAGCAAGTTCACAAAAAGCGCAAGATGGATAAACAAAACCCCAATAGGAATATACCTAGTTTCACGTCTGTTTGCGGCGCTCGCCGCATCTGCAGCAAATCCAAGATGTTATACACACGCCCCAAACCGGATGTACTTCAAAGCATATTGCAATCCAAGGCGAACTCGGAATATAAATCGCGCCGGTTGTGGTATGAACTCAATATGCCAGAATGCGCTAGTCATCTATTTGATGGCCAAATGCTGTCCGATCTGCCCGAAAGTTTGACCTGTGGAAAATCGCGAACGCGTCGAAGGCATTCCGATAAACCAGACGATGGTGAGTCCAGGAGTAAGGGCACATCAAATTATATGGTCATGCGGCAGGAGCGTGAGCATTTCCGTGCCAAGCTCGTCGAGCTGATATTGCACATGGAAGACAATCCAGATCCCACAGCGGAGAAGATAGATACCTTTCCCGATCAAGGCGAGCGCGAAGTCCTTCGCTATTATTACTACATTAAGCATGGCATTGACACCATTCATGTGTCCACCATTAGCAAAAAGACCCTCAAGAGGTGAGTCCCCAACAGTTTCTACATAAA